CGAATTCCGCACCCAGAGCATCTTCGAATCCCAGATCATCATATTATTTACAGCAGAATGCTACTGACTTTTTGAAAACCATTCCAAAATAATGTTGTTTCCTTATAATTGCGAAATTCTTTCTCAAAAGATGCGGTGAGTGGTGGTACGAGATGGAGACATTCGATTCAAGACCAATAGGCGGGAAATAGGTGCGCCTGGTGCATCGTGGTGACAGTACTAACACGGAATCCCTACACCGACTATCCAGACGATTTTGGTAATTTTCCTCTGTATGGAGCTCTGAATATCACAAATTACTGAATGGGTACGTTAAAAGTTTAGGATTTTCCGAAAACTTTTGGCATACGGTAACCCAAAACCAGGCGTAACTGCAGAGAATCTGGTATGAAAACAAGTAGAGTGATGTTAGTGTCTTTACATACAGACTGCGCAACACCGAAAGTTGTAGAGAACGCGAAAAGGCAAGCGCTAGGCTGACAGAAAGTTTGGAATCAGAAGCGCATATCCGCTGAGTACGGTGGTTAGAGAATCGTCGGTGAAGACAGGATGGGCGATTGCGAGCAGGAGAACCAAAAGTAACATACACGCACACACATACACACACACACACACACACACAAATACATGTAGAATTTTTGGATACAAGTAGTAGGAAAATTAGTGAGACAAAGGGGACAAAGAGACGAGCAGATCACAAGTAGCGCGAATTTGTGAAGAGAATTCAGAAGAGTCTGGGAAAAACTCGCAAAATGCCCGGATCACTGGGAACACAGAGAGTGTGGAAGAAAAACGGTCTGCCTCTTGCTCAGAGCAGGCTCCTGGCGGCTGCTCCGGTTAGAGCACATAAAGACCGCATTCTCTAGGAGCTATGCATTTTGCATTCCTAACCTGAAAATATTTCCGAATCCTCTCCCGCACTGGTGCTTTCGCACTGTTCACGAATTCTGCCATGCTACGGTAAACGAATTTCTGTAGGGGACACTTTTTTCCAGAAATTTTAGGGCGCCAAAATTTCCCACCGCTCACAATTGACTGCTCGGGAAGAAGGAGCGCCCCGATGAATTTGTTCCTAAATTCGATGGTAGTAGTTCAAGCAAGAGTGGGAAGCCGTTGCAAAAGGAATACAGATGTAACACCCACCCGAGTATAGTTTGGAAAAGTGAGCAGCTCTGTCCCATCTACGGATAAAATCTAATAAAAACAAACGGTTTATGGTGAAACATGCCAGGCACGGTGAAAGAGGGCCACTTATCCGCAATCTCCCGTACCGTCCATGCTGGTGCTCCTTACGGAGCAGAAACTCATGACGGAACGAGCTCTTAGTCCACCGACGGGTAGAACATAAATACTATTTACTGAATCTCCCAGTTTTTGTTGCACTTAAATTTAGCTGGTAAACTAATGAGGAAAGCCTCACAAAGACTTTGCCCTCATTTCACATCTAGGAAACCCGCTAAGAGCAATCAGCAGGTTCATTTTAATCTTAGAAATACTGCTTGACATAAAAATATGTCTTTTTGAGCATAGTTTGATGCGGTCTTTCAATTCAGGACCATTGGCGGCTTTTCGCCTTTCAGTTCCTTTGCCTGAAGAATCAGAAAGCCCTCATCATTCCGACGCAAATGCCATCTTCAAAACGTTCGCACAAAAAACTGCTATTAATCGGCTAACCAAAACTGCTCTCAGCTTACGTTTGGCCGACCTTCAAAGCGGCATTCAGCAGCCATCGACCTAACCAGCGATTGATCGCTTTTGGCATGCTTTATTGTTCGAGCTACTCCCGAATGCTTTTTTCTCACACAGATGATGAATCATGGGGGATTTTTGACTTTAATTTTATTACACAAATA